AAAACCGAATTACAGAAATAGGTTCTCATATTACTGCAGATAACTTAAGCGCAGCGTCCTATGCATTGATAATAATGGCGAACATATTGAATGTATACTATACTGTATATAAATGTAAGTTGGCATTTCAGTTTTTGTTAATATCTGTAGTTCCACATAAATAGACCACTTCATATGACCACTCATTAGCTTACTAACCGTTCTTTGCGGACCAGTGTTAGTGTAGGATGAAGCCAGAGTGGTCAAAGAAAACCTGCGATGTTTGGGAAGGTCACACCGGACACGCCCTTCTCACATCTGTTCCTAACTTGGTTTTGAGCCAGGGTACAATGATGTCATATTTCCTACAGCAGTAGAGGTTTACCGCCCTCCCCTCAATGTAGACTGTAGGGGCCTGCTACCTTCTCACTGTGCTAAGCTATGAAATCCTCATCTCAGCCACGTGAATTTCCGAAACACTTCCTTACGATTTTTTGAGAACTAAATGGAATCTATCATATTAGATATCAGAAATCTTAGATCTTTACCTTTATGTTCGTAAAGTAATAGAGAGCTCTTCAAAACAGCCTTGTGACAACTTAAAACCTCCGTCTGTCCTTGTCATCCTCGAACATTATTTTCATTGTTGGAGAATATTGGATTCTTCTTCACAGAAAACCACCGAAACTCTGTGTGTTTCAGTAAGACCTAAAATCACTTTATAAATCTTTATGAAAATAGAAAAAGACAAAAAGCGCAAATTTCTGTAGAGCCGTGTGTCTCCCTCCCTCCTTGACACAGAAAAACATCACCACAGTTACCGGGCGTTAAGTGACACACACACACACACACACACACATATATATATATATATATATATATATATATATATATATATATATATATATATATATATATATATATATATATATATATATATATATATATATATATGTGTGTGCTGATAACCACAAGGAAAAAGGAAAACACGAAGTTCCCAAGCGCTTTCGTGTAATTCACATCTTCAAGGGTGAGTACAGACTAAGGAGAAATACATAACAAGGTATACTGTATATATACAGAGGAGGGTGAGATCAAGTCCACAATGGTTAGGTATTAGGTAGTGACCCCACTAATCTTCAAAAAGCACCGCAGCAGTCCGTAGTCAGGTCAGAGGGTAAGATGACCCAACCTTCTCACCTGGTTACAAATCTTCTTAATTACGAAATTATCCAGTTTGCACATACCATTACTCAAATTCATGTTGACGGATTCGATATATTTAATGAGACTAGATTCTATAATGTTCCTACTGTCAATTGCATTACAAGGTAATATTGAGGAGGCATTATCCCAGTCAATGCAATGCTTATTATCCCTCAAATGAACAAACAGAGCATTGGATTCCTGGCCTGTCCTAACACTATATTTATGTTGTTTAAATCTAGTTACAAGATCTTTACCTGTCTGGCCTAAGTAAAACATATTACATTCCTTGCAAGGAACCTTATAAATGCAGCCACTTGTATTGTTGGGGGAGTTCTTGATTAACATTTGTTTAACAGTGCATGAGTTTTTAAATGCCACATTGACGTTCCAGGTTTTTAGTTGTAAAGAAATTCGAGAGAAATTTTTGTGAAATGGTAATATTAAGAGATTCTTATGGTCATGGGTGGGCTTGGGATCAGTTCTATAAAAAGATTTCTTAGAGGGATGTGGGGGGGAGGTGGGCGTTCCCAGTTTTATTTAATAGAAAAAATATTGTGATCCGAAGACCCTAAGAGGGCAGATGTTGAGTATGAGTAGTGTGAGGGGTTAGTGGTAAAACAAAGATCAAGAATGTTAGTAAGTTGACCATGTCGATCAGGAACACGTGTTGGATGCTTAATTATTTGTTTCAGATCATTGAGTAAGGACAAAGAGAGTACCTCAGCTTCACCTGGGTCATCCCTTGCAGAGCCAAGCAACTCTCTGTGATGTACAGTAGCTAAAACAACTATCTGGCATACTTGTAGGAAACAATATGAGACCATGGTCGATCAATTTTGGTATATGAGGGCTGTCACTAGTCACACGTAAAATTTCGGAGCATATCGACCCCCACCTGCACAGATAGTTATTTGTACATTGAATTCCCCTAGGTAGAGAATCTCTGTGTTGGGTGTGTGGACAGCAACAACTCGTGGCAAGAAGTGAGTTAGTCAAAGAGTTCTAAATAGTTGTAGTTTCTTGATATTAAAACAATGGTCAAGTAGGAAAAAAAGAACGACAAATTTATGCACACTATTGAAAGTTGGTCAACAAATTAATAAAATCGTTTAATCAAATATTTCCTTAATCTAAATTCTATAATCATGAATCTTCCACATTAGCTCTGATCCTGAGAGTTCACAATGAAGTTATATTTCTATTATGATTCCAGTAAGAGGCCATTGTAATACGATTAATTAAAAAAAAATTTGCATTTGTTAACACCAAAGAGAAAACGTTAACAACAACAACGACGGTATGGTTCAGTAAAGTAGAGTTACCATTGTTCGTGGCTATGTTTCTTATGTCTCGGTACAGTAGAGTTACCATTGTTCGTGGCTATGTTTCTTATGTCTTGGTACAGTAGAGTTACCATTGTTCGTGGCTATGTTTCTTATGTCTTGGTACAGTAGAGTTACCATTGTTCGTGGCTATGTTTCTTATGTCTCGGTACAGTAGAGTTACCATTGTTCGTGGCTATGTTTCTTATGTCTCGGTACAGTAGAGTTACCATTGTTCGTGGCTATGTTTCTTATGTCTTGGTACAGTAGAGTTACCATTGTTCGTGGCTATGTTTCTTATGTCTCGGTACAGTAGAGTTACCATTGTTCGTGGCTATGTTTCTTATGTCTTGGTACATTACCATTGTTACTCAGTACAGTAGAGTTACCATTGTTCGTGGCTCTATTTCTTATGTCTTGGTACAGTAGAGTTACCATTGTTCGTGGCTCTGTTTCTTATGTCTTGGTACAGTAGAGTTACCATTGTTCGTGGCTATGTTTCTTATGTCTCGGTACAGTAGAGTTATCATTGTTCGTGGCTCTGTTTCTTATGTCTTGAGTTATCATTGTTCGTGGCTCTGTTTCTTATGTCTCGGTACAGTAGAGTTATCATTGTTCGTGGCTATGTTTCTTATGTCTTGGTACAGTAGAGTTATCATTGTTCGTGGCTATGTTTCTTATGTCTCGGTACAGTAGAGTTACCATTGTTCGTGGCTATGTTTCTTATGTCTTGGTACAGTAGAGTTATCATTGTTCGTGGCTATGTTTCTTATGTCTTGGTACAGTAGAGTTACCATTGTTCGTGGCTATGTTTCTTATGTCTTGGTACAGTAGAGTTATCATTGTTCGTGGCTCTGTTTCTTATGTCTTGGTACAGTAGAGTTACCATTGTTCGTGGCTATGTTTCTTATGTCTTGGTACAGTAGAGTTATCATTGTTCGTGGCTATGTTTCTTATGTCTTGGTACAGTAGAGTTACCATTGTTCGTGGCTATGTTTCTTATGTCTTGGTACAGTAGAGTTACCATTGTTCGTGGCTATGTTTCTTATGTCTTGGTACAGTAGAGTTACCATTGTACGTGGCTATGTTTCTTATGTCTCGGTACAGTAGAGTTACCATTGTTCGTGGCTATGTTTCTTATGTCTTGGTACAGTAGAGTTACCATTGTTCGTGGCTATGTTTCTTATGTCTTGGTACAGTAGAGTTACCATTGTTCGTGACTATGTTTCTTATGTCTTGGTACAGTAGAGTTACCATTGTTCGTGACTATGTTTCTTATGTCTTGGTACAGTAGAGTTACCATTGTTCGTGGCTATGTTTCTTATGTCTTGGTACAGTAGAGTTACCATTGTTCGTGGCTATGTTTCTTATGTCTTGGTACAGTAGAGATACCATTGTTCGTGGCTATGTTTCTTATGTCTTGGTACAGTAGAGTTACCATTGTTCGTGGCTATGTTTCTTATGTCTCGGTACAGTAGAGTTACCATTGTTCGTGGCTATGTTTCTTATGTCTTGGTACAGTAGAGTTACCATTGTTCGTGGCTATGTTTCTTATGTCTTGGTACAGTAGAGTTACCATTGTTCGTGGCTATGTTTCTATGTTTCTTATGTCTTGGTACAGTAGAGTTACCATTGTTCGTGACTATGTTTCTTATGTCTTGGTACAGTAGAGTTACCATTGTTCGTGGCTATGTTTCTTATGTCTTGGTACAGTAGAGTTACCATTGTTCGTGGCTATGTTTCTTATGTCTTGGTACAGTAGAGATACCATTGTTCGTGGCTATGTTTCTTATGTCTTGGTACAGTAGTTGTTCGTGGCTATGTTTCTTATGTCTTGGTACAGTAGAGTTATCATTGTTCGTGGCTATGTTTCTTATGTCTTGGTACAGAGTAGATTATGTTTCTTATGTCTTGGTACAGTAGAGTTACATTGTTCATTGTGTTTCTTATGTCTTATACAGTAGAGTTACTTGTTCGTGGCTATGTTTCTTATGTCTTGAGTTACAGTTCGTGGCTATGTTTCTTATGTCTTGGTACAGTCGTGGCTATGTTTCTTATGTCTTGGTAGAGTTACCATTGTATGTTTCTTATGTCTTGGTACAGTAGAGTTATCATTGTTCGTGGCTTGGTATGAGTTATCATTGTTCGTGGCTGTGTTTCTTATGTCTTGGTACAGTAGAGTTACCATTGTTCGTGGCTATGTTTCTTATGTCTTGGTACAGTAGAGTTACCATTGTTCGTGGCTATGTTTCTTATGTCTTGGTACAGTAGAGTTACCATTGTTCGTGACTATGTTTCTTATGTCTTGGTACAGTAGAGTTACCATTGTTCGTGACTATGTTTCTTATGTCTTGGTACAGTAGAGTTACCATTGTTCGTGGCTATGTTTCTTATGTCTTGGTACAGTAGAGTTACCATTGTTCGTGGCTATGTTTCTTATGTCTTGGTACAGTAGAGATACCATTGTTCGTGGCTATGTTTCTTATGTCTTGGTACAGTAGAGTTACCATTGTTCGTGGCTATGTTTCTTATGTCTTGGTACAGTAGAGATACCATTGTTCGTGGCTATGTTTCTTATGTCTTGGTACAGTAGAGATACCATTGAGAGTTTGGGAAAGGAGGTGATTTGTGTTTATATTGACGCTACTGTACTATTACGTGTATACTTCTTCTTCTCGTGGTATTGACTCCTCTTAAGTCCTCGAGCCGGCGTTTATTTCCGGAAGTTTAATACGGCAAACACGGTGTCGGCGAGGTAGGCGAAGGAGGCCAGGAGACAGAAGCTACCCATGGCGAGTGAGGCGTCTCGTTTATTCGAAACTTTTGTGTATTGTTTGTCCCACGTGTTGATTGCCACAGATCCAGCAGAAAGCAGGAACACAAACATCAGAGAGTTAAACACTATCTCCTGTTGGTATATAAAAGAGAGTTAATCATAGTTACCACCAGAATTTAAAAGAAATTTAATATGTCTCAATGCTAGAAGTTTGGAGATCTAATAATGCATTTCTGTTGCTGTAATCTTGTAATAAAACTTATTTTTAGTTGGGTTACAGAGACAGTTGTGGAAGCTCATGGAATTGGGGCTATTCTAAATTGGATAACGAGAGTAGGTGGGAAAAAGAAGAAAAGATGAGAAAAACTTGAAAATAAAGAGAAAAAGAAGAAGAGGAGGAGGATGAGGTTTTGGAGGAGGATATTGAGGAGGAGCCGAGAGACGACGGAGGAGGTTTACTCACGAAAATCGTCTTCTGTATTTCAAGTTTGCCCATGAGGTAACAGGCGAGGAGGAGCGGCGTGATGATCATAGCCGTCACCAACACTCCTACCCCGAAGAAGGTGGCGTCGGCACTCATACTGATTGTGAAGAGAGTGTCGGCGCCCCGGAGTATCCCGAAGGCAATCACGACCGTCACCTGTACACGGGTAGATAAATAACACTAATACTGCTACTGGCTCCATAGGGGAAGAGTGACAAAGGTGTTGACTCAAGGAGGGAGAGAGTGGCTAGGGTGTTGACTCAAGGAGGGAGAGAGTGACAAGGGTGTTGATTCAGGGAGGGAGAGAGTGACATTGGTGTTGATTCAGGGAGGGAGAGAGTGACATTGGTGTTGATTCAGGGAGGGAGAGAGTGACAATGGTGCTGATTCAGGGAGGGAGAGAGTGGCTAGGGTGTTGACTCAAGGAGGGAGAGAGTTGCTAAGGTGTTGACTCAGGGAGGGAGAGAGTGGCTAGGGTGTTGACTCAGGGAGGGAGAGAGTGGCTAGGGTGTTGACTCAAGGAGGGAGAGAGTTGCTAAGGTGTTGACTCAGGGAGGAAGAGAGTGGCTAGGGTGTTGACTCAGGGAGGAGAGTGGCTCTCAGGAGGAGAGAGTTGCTAAGGTGTTGACTCAGGGAGGAGAGAGTGGCTAGGGTGTTGACTCAGGGAGGGAGAGAGTGGCTAGGGTGTTGACTCAAGGAGGAGAGTGACAATGGTGTTGACTCAAGGAGGAGAGAGTGGCTAGGGTGTTGACTCAGGGAGGGAGAGAGGGCCTAAGGTGTTGACTCAAGGAGGGAGAGAGTGACAATGGTGTTGGCTCAAGGAGGGAGAGAGTTGCTAGGGTGTTGACTCAGGGAGGGAGAGAGTGCCTAGAGTACATTAGATAGAGAAGTGTTAGTAACTATCAATATAAAAGCGGCTGATGGCAGATGTTGACATTAAGTGAAAGAGAAATTAAAGTAAAGCCATCAATTACGGCGGTTGTCTGAAGATGTATAATACCGGTGGAGGATCTCTGATGATATGACTGTTATTCTAGCCCAAGTTATTTAAGTTAATGTAGATGTCAATGATATAACACACACACTCACACACACACACACAGACACACACACACACACACACACACACACACACACACACACACACACACACACACACACACACACACACACACACACACCATCTTATTGAATAAGTCAGTGAACATAATACACTAATTACTATTTCGACGAGCTTGAGAATGCCGGACGGCTTCTTGAGATATTCGCAGTAGAACTCCACTTCCATGTTATAAGGTCAGCCCACCTGTGGAGAGTGAAGGATAGCCGTGAGTGATACTTGGCATAATATGTAGCACGGGACATCCTCCTACAACAAACATAGAGTTTTGCTTGCCAATATAAATATAAATATATATATATATATATATATATATATATATATATATATATATTATATATATATATATATATATATTTATATATATATATTTATATATCAAAATTTCATGCAGGCGAACCTCAATACACTAACAATACCTCACAGGCAAGGAATTGGAACCCTGGACGTCTAGTGAGGTATTGATATTATTAGGAGCTGGATACTTATGCATTTGCATGTGCATAAGCAACTGCATATTTTAGCCATTTTTGAGCTAAAGTGCATTTTCATAGTTTTTGTTTTATAAGGCATATTTTGGACCTATCATTCATGGAGCAGCTCCCCTCCACTCATCCGATGGTAATTCTCTAATTAAAGACGAAGAAAGCATCATTCAGCGCTGGAAAGAGCACTACCATTCACTGCTAAATGAAACACCGATGTGGATGTCCTGACTACCCAGCAGGTCCCTCAACACCCATAACTGACCCACCTCAGTTATCCTTCCTTCCTGAATAAGGTAGCTATTGCAATCAAACAGATGAAAAATTACAAAGCTGCAGGTCATGATGGAATCCTAGCTGAGGTGTATAAAGCAGGAGTACCTCTGCTTACTAGCCGGCTCCACTTTCTCCTGGAGGATATATGGGAGAAGGAGGAAATCCCCCAAGATCTTTAAGACGCTTCCATCGTTAATATTTATAAGAACAAGGGAGACCTGTCTGACTGTGGCAACTACCGCGGGATCTCGCTGCTGTCTGTTGCTGGCAGGATTATCTCCCGAGTACTCCTAAACAGACTTCTTCCTGAGGGAGAAAACTTCCTCCCAGAATCTCAGTGTGGCTTTAGACCATCACGGGGCTGCAGAGAATAACGTCATGACTTGTACATGGCCTTCACCTGCCTTACCAAGGCCTTCGACTCATTCAACAGGAAAGCCCTCTGGTGGACCGTCAGCCGTTTTGGCTGCCCACCAAAATTCATTGCCATTGTGAGGCAACTCCACGATGGCATGAACGGCAGTGTCCTGCACAATGGCACCAACTATCTTTTCCATTTTCTTGGCTGCCTTCCTTACTCGTGCCAGTGGCAATTTAGCCGGCACGGTGGATATCGAGTACAGGATGAAGGGACTTTTCAACATAAGATGACTCCAGGCAGGAACAAAGATGTCGGCAGATTCCATTACTGAACTGCAGTAAGCAGACAACTTTATCTCGTCGCTCACACTGAATGCGACCTAAAAGACATCCCGAAAACCCACGCAGATGCATATGTACACTTCGACCTTGAGGTGAATGTACGTAAGACTCAGATTCTCTTTCAGCCTGCCCCTGGTTCATCCATATTTCCGCCATTCATCCAGGTTAACGGTACTACCCTCTCTAATGTTACCCACTTTCAGTATTTCGGCTCCCACCAGTCCACCACCGCAGACATCGATAAAGAGATTCAGCATCGGATCAGATATGCATCACATGCCTTTAGCAAACTCGATACCCGTGTCTTCAGCTGTAGGGAGCTGAAATTATCTACAAAGTTGCACGTATATCGAGCAGTGGTCCTCCCCTCCCTGCTATATGGCAGCGAGACATGGGTCACATACAGGAGGCACCTCAAGGCACTTGAAAACTTTCACCAACATAGTCTACGTTCCATCCTCCGAGTTCGCTGGGAAGACAAGAGAACAAATGCCAGTATTCTCGCTGACACTAACTGCAGGAGCATCGAGGCTACCATTATCCATGAACAACTATGTTGGACTGGCCATGTTACCAGCATGAACAATAGTAGACTGCCAGAGTAGGTACTTTACAATCACCTAAGTGCCAAATCGACCTAAGTGACGATCACTCTACGCTTGGAGGAGAACCACGCGAGGGGGTGTCAATACTTTAGAGTTAGCCCGACTGCATACCGAGGTAGACAAGCGCCAGCGTGGGAAGGACGCTTCTGGCACTCCCGCACTAGATTTGGCTTTTCACACGTGCAACATCTGTGGACGGCCTTGTCGGTCCCGCATCGGCCTCTTTAGTCACCTCAAAGCTCACCAATGAAGGTGACATCCTTAATAACTCATATCGTTGTATCATAGCTGGATGATCGTCATACTCGATTCCGAGCACAGCAAAGGAGTAGTAGCGCCTGTGTGTATATATATGGAGTGCAGAGAAGGAGAGGAGGAGGGAGAGCAGACCACCAGTACACCCGCTATACACTTATTGCTAGTTCTAAATTTACATCATCTTAAATACACTAGCAGCACTCACAACACGTCATAACAACTTAAAACTTGACACGTGTCTGACAACCTGAAAAAGACATTTGTATGACATCCTAAAGTGAGCACATGTATGGAAACTTAAAACCAGTGACATGAATGTCATAATTCACATTACTCTCTACCCGTCAAGAGAGGAAGTGAGGGAGTGGTTGTGCGTTATAGTGTTGATCATAGTGTACCCTACACGCAGTCTTACTGATAACTTCGACAGTTATCGGATAAGGTTATCTGGTCAAGAGGACCTAACAAAATTCCCCTGTCTACCTCCCTGTTAAATCTTACTCTCCCTAACTAAGAGAGAGAGAGAGAGAGAGAGAGAGAGAGAGAGAGAGAGAGAGAGAGATGGAATATGCTCATTCACTTACTTCACTGGATCTTTGTTACGAGTCTGCCAACAACATTAAGAAATCAGATAGATCATCTTCACATCGGGATGTACTGTAGTAAGCTCAGCTGGACCCGTGCACACACATTGCCAGATCAGCTATTTGCAACCGGCATGACGATATCCAAAATGTGTGATAGATCCACCGGCTAAACTGATAAGGTGTTTGATGCAGCAATAATAACACACAAATGAGCTAATTTTATGATAACAGAAGCATCTTTACAATTCTTGAGGTGTACAAATACTTCGAGGACTGAACGACCTTCCGCAAAAAATGATCTTTGTTTAACTTGATTTAATTCCTTAAATTAAAAGATACACATTTATATTCCTTAGTTACTAATAATCATTAATAAATATATAAAAAGAATCGTGTCTACTGAGTGTGAGCGTCATAACTGCTAAAGTATCCTCAGGGATGAAGATTTAATCTTCTTAAAATAACTTGACTCCTGTATGTTGACAAATGGATGAGGTCAGTAAACCATTGTAGTTAGCTTTGTTGTGTACTCGTAGCTTGTGTTTGTTTGCCTTCAAATTCTTAACTTTCTTAATATTAGACAAAATGTTTACGTTCATACAGAAGTACCCTGAGTCGTTCGTCTGTCTATCACTATCTTATAGAACGATGAACCGAAAGGAAGTCACAAGAAAAAGTCACAGAAAAAAAGTCATACTGGTAAATTAATAAAACTATACAGATTTTAAGGCGGTTGTTCATTGGAAACAAAACCTCGACTAATACAGACTGACAATACAAAATTTCATGGCATTATAAGTACAGGGGGTATATTTGTTCAAGTAATGAAACTAAGTTTGTCGTCATACTGCCTCGACAGCAACCACTGGATCTTTTCTCGCATTTCCGCCACAAGTTGCCTTTATAAGTGAAATGCTTATTATACATGAACTCACTGTAGCAGATTTTTCAAGCACGTTTATTAGTGTCAATAATTTCCATGGGAGTAAGTGTAAATAAATAAAAAATGCCAACGGTACAGAGCTCAGAGTTTTCCACAATATTTGTTTTGTTCTGATTTTCATTTTTTAATAATAGTATTAACGACTATTATATAGTGATTAAAATTATGTGTCGAACTGTACTAGACAGATTGTGCAGTTAGTCAAATGTCATACTAGTAAAAAAAAATACAGCCCACAATTACTTAAGTTACGTTACAATATGCGAAGTATGTCTGAAAATTGCTAATTTAACTAACTGTAAAATAGTGCTTGGCCAGTTACATGGAAAAGTGTAACGTACTTAGCATAGGAAATGTAAATAGGGAAACCAGCTAGTTCAATTGTCCTCTGATTTCGCTCAAGGAAAGGTTATGGCAAATTTGCTCCCAGGGATTAACCAGACAGTTTACAATGTCCAGTGCTAGCTGGGAGCAGCTCTGTGCCTCTCAAAGGGCTGAGCTTGCGAAGGTTAGGGAGAAAATGTGTGGTCCCAGACCTCCATAAAATATCATGGTGTGAAGGCGTGGAACAACTTACCCCCACCCATCCGAGCAAAGACTACGCTCCCTTCCTTTAAATCATCTCTTAAAAAATATCTATTATCTCAATATTAATATTTTTTGTAATACCTACTATATAATATATAGTAGGTATTACTCATGTTTCACTTGATGCATCTAATCATGGTAAACATGTTTGCAATTGTCTGCTTGCGTCAAATTCATCAATAAGTTCTTTCCTAATTACAGTTTTAAGGGTTCTTTTTAACAGACCCAGATTGTATTCAACAGTGTCTTTGTTAGACGCGAGTTTGGCGAGAGCATCAACTCTGTCACGTGCTTTGAGATCTATGTGAGAGGGATCCATAACAGTTTGATATTGACACCCCGGTCAACAAGGTACGCATATTTGTGTCTGGCTTCAGAGACAAGAGCGTGATAACTTAAGTTGGGCGTGTCAAGGGCAAGTTGTGAGGATAGAGATGAGACTGTCAGTAACAGTGGTTTCAACAATTTCAATGGCTGTGAGTATGGCAACTAATTCAGTTTGTAGAGTGGATGCCCAGTTGTTAATTCTAACTTCTTTCTCAATTGTATTACCGTTAGGTTGAGTCACAACGACATCACTTCCAGCCCTCCCACAGGCAGTGTTAGAGATTCCATTAGTGTAGATGATCTGTGTGATGTTATTATCAGTTTGTAGGGTGTGTTGTTTAAGAGCTCTCACTTTGGCTCTGTGTTGGTGATAAACGTGTGGATGGAGTGGGTAGGCGTGTAGGGGGCGTGGGATGGAGTGGGGAGGCGTGTAGGGGGCGTGGGATGGAGTGGGGAGGCGTGTAGGGGGCGTGGGATGGAGTGGGAGGCTTGTAGGGGCGTGGGAGGGGCGTGGGGTGGGATGGAGTGGGGAGGCGTGTAGGGGGCGTGGGATGGAGTGGGGAGGCGTGTAGGGGGCGTGGGATGGAGTAGGGAGGCTTGTAGAGGGCGTGAGATAGAGTGGGGAGGCGTGTAGAGGGCGTGTCGACTCACATTTGTTTTTTGCCATATTTCTGCATACAATCATTAATGTGACAGGTGTATAACTGGTTTTGAAGAAAAAAATTACCGTGATTGTTTGTACTGAACATTGGGTGTATGACCCGGAAAACCTAATCGAGCAGTTATTTGGTTAAAGGCAGAGTTTTCAGCTCGGTCATAACTGGTTCATAAACTTGGTATAGTCAGTGGCTACTCTTTACCCTCCAGTTTGTATTTGTTATTTGATAATTTGGCCATTGTTTGTGATAATCCTCTACGAGATGTTGAAGGTGAAAATGTGTTTCATGGGTTTGACGACCTGTTGAGGACAATGCGGGTACAGTACACGGAAGACTACTTTCTCTTGCGCTCGACCACCTATGCTTCTCCAGCTGTATTGTCTGGAATCCAGCCGCAGGTGGGAGGATATGAGCTTATCTTGGGTACAAACCAATAACCCGTAAGACAGTAGGCGAACCGCCGCATCCGGAAAACTTATAATTATCACTTGTTTAACTAAAAAAAATGCAACTTACAAATAATTTGTGAATTAAGTTTCACAGTGGAGCTGCAGGGATGGTGACCTTAGTAAGGCGAACTTCACACGAGTAGTTGAGGCAATTTAGCTGTGGTAGTGTGGCTATTCGAACGTGACTGTTGAAGGTGGGGCTGGGAGAGACTGGCGTGGCAGGTACCAAGAACCCAGTGGTATCACTCTTGAACGCTGATAAGTTATCTACGACCACTACACTTCGCTGACGGCTATTGTAAATCCTCTGATGTCTTGTAATTATTATTAACATATCCTTATATTTTATTGTATTTTATTTTATTTTTATTTTTCTGATAACAATCCCTTTAGTACCTACTTTTATAATTTTCTTTCCAGATGTTATAATTCTGACAAAATATTGACAGCATCTCAACTTTTTTGTTACAGATTTCGAACCCACATGACTCAGCGGAGCACAACGCACCCTTTTTATTTCAAGGTGTGGTGGCGTTAGTGAGTATGTGATAGTTTCTTGCACAAGGTTCAGGACCATGGAATTTGGAACAAAAATAAAATTAAAATAATGAATTAAAGAAAAGTCTGGCGATTATATGAAGGTCTGGTATATGTACTATATGGATGAATAAAAACAACAATTTAAACATTTCTATATTATAAAAGTTATACACAAATAGTGCTACGGTCGTCTCCCCTTTCCCTCAATATTTGTTTTAGTTACCCATTGTATTTACTTTCTGTTGTTTCCCGTTTTCTTTAGAATCGAATTTCCAAACCTATGGTAAAGACTTTGAAAAAGTCTTGATTATTTTATATAAGTATGTATACTAGTATTCGTTTCATTATGTAAACTTTGTAGAATGTATTCTTATTTTTTATACACTTATGAAAAACTGTAAGAAGCAGGTGTGAAGTATAAAAGGAATTAGAAATTATATGTTGATGAAACAGGAAAGTATTGGAACATTGTTTTGATTTTGATGCACTCTCGGTAGCAAGGTTGTGGATGATAGGAGGGTCAAGCTTGTGTGGTGCACATTTATCTATTATTATCTGGGCAATCATGGATAATTATGGTGTTAACTAAAGTGTAATATGTTCATTATAGTCTAAAGAGTATTGTAGTAGTGAGAGAGCATTGTATTTGGTGGAGATAACATTATTCTGAGTGAATTGATGTGTGGCCTTTTGTGTGCACATGGACGGAGAGCACACGTTTATTATATTTCGTTGTTAAATATATTTTGTTGTAATTTTAAAGCTGTGTTTTGATTAAACCAGTTTTAATGGGAACAGTAGTATTGAAATAAACACATGTCAGCTGTTAGGAGAATGTTAGCCAGAAATAAGGTAAGGGTCTGTGTTTAACATTTAATCTCTCTGTTAACAGAAGCTGTTATTTCAGAGTCTCCTCTGATATAATGGGCCTATGGGCTGACTATACATCCTCTAGTGAGTCCTAGATGAGGGTGTGAAGGTTGTAACAATAGTTATATATCATTTAAATTGATCAATATGTAACACAGGCAAGTACTGTAACTTTTACATACAAGGAATCATCATTAACCTACGCCCAAACTAAACGCCAGAACCACCTTGTCTTCATCGAGACTCAAATGCCCCTCTCCTTCCTCTACTGCCACTCAACACACCACACAACGTGAGGCATTCGACGACCAATGAACACACCTGAAACATCGAGACAGTGACACTGCACCACTATGACGCAGTAATCGGGTATCGCACATCTGGTGTGTGGGAGGCACAGTTGGGGACTTTTCCAACTATTACAGCCAGCGTTGTCAATCCACTCTCTCCGTAAGGTGTACCCCGTGAATCTGAAACATTCGCCATTGAAGGAGAGAAGTAGGGCAGCAAAATACAACAACCTGTGCATTATGGCGATTTCAACTTCAGAAATATTCATTGGGACAACATTGTAGGTGACTATGAATCTGAAGACTTCCTAGACGCAGTACAGGACAATTTTTTAAAACAATTAATTACAGAACCTACTAGAGGTGACAATATATTAGATCTAGTATTAACAAATAAAGAAATATTATCAGAGATATCACAATAGGGGAAGAACTGGGGAACAGTGATCACAGAGAAATCAAGTTCACTCTAAATTGGGAAACGAAAAACAATGACAATATGGTCAGAGTCTCATACTTTCGATCGGAGGATTATGAGGAGTTAAGAAGGTACCTACTGTAGGTGAGGTCGCCTGGGAACAGTCGGGTCAGTCCACGGTAGGAACGGGTGAGGTCACCGGCGACACAAAATATACCATACAGAAAAAAATAGGTCAAATAAAAATGAGCCAAGCTGGATGACCAAAAAGCTTAAACATGACGTAGGAATAAAGAAAGAAATTTATAAGAAATTAAAGGGAGGGGAAGAGCATCTCAGAAATAGGTATAGTGAACTAACTAGGAATGTTAAGAAAAATGTAAGAAAGGCAGAGAGGGACTACGAAATCGGGATAGCAAGAGAATCCAAGGCGAGTCCCAAGAGATTTTTCCAGGTATATAGGACAAAGTTCAAAGACAAAGCTGGGCCTTTAAAGTCAGAGAGAGGGGAAATGATCGATGATAGTGAGGAAATAAACAAAGCATTAAACAGCTACTTATCAGTTTTTACAGAAGAAATCCACGAGGAAATGCCAGAGGTGGAACTGATATTTAGGGGAAATGAAGAAGAGAGGTAGGAGGCGTGGTGGTTGGGGGCGTGGCAGTGTAGGTAGGAGGCGTGGTGGTGTAGGGCGTGGTAGTGTAGGTAGGAGGCGTGGTGGTGTGGGCGCGTAGGGCGTGGCAGTGTAGGTGGGGGCTTGGTGGTGTAGGCGTGGTAGTGTAGGTGGGGCGTGGTGGTTGGGGGCGTGGTAGTGTAGGTAGGAGGCATGGTGGTTGGGGCGTAAGTGTGGGTGGGAGGCGTGGTGATGGAGGGCGTGGTAGTGTGGGTGGGAGGCGTGGTGATGGAGGGCGTGGTAGTGTAGGTAGGAGGCGTGGTGGTTGGGGGCGTGGTAGTGTAGGTAGGCATGGTGGTTGGGGAGGCAGTGTGGTGGGGGCTTAGTGGTGTAGGGCGTGGTAGTGTAGGTAGGAGGCGTGGTGGTTGGGGGCGTGGTAGTGTAGGGGAGGCGTGGTGGTTGGGGGCGTGGTGAGGTGTGGGTGGGAGGCGTGGTGATGGAGGGCGTGGTAGTGTGGGTGGGAGGCGTGGTGATGGAGGCGTGGTAGTGTGGGTGGGAGGCGTGGTGATGGAGGGCGTGGTAGTGTGGGTGGGAGGCGTGGTGATGGAGGGCGTGGTAGTGTAGGTGGAGGCGTGGTGATGGAGGGCGTGGTAGTGTAGGTGGGAGGCGTGGTGGATGGAGGGCGTGGTAGTGTAGGTGGGAGGCGTGGTGATGGAGGGCGTGGTAGTGTAGGTGGGAGGCGTGGTGATGGAGGGCGTGGTAGTGTAGGTGGGAGGCGTGGTGATGGAGGGCGTGGTAGTGTAGGTGGGAGGCGTGGTGATCACGAACATGATATAATATATAACCTGATGATGGAGCTACGAAACTGGCCACTGCTCATTTGTACCGGATATTCCACCAATGAGCGATGACCAGGGAGATTGACAGACGCTGTGCCTTGAGACTCGCCTTCGCTGGATAGTATATTGATAAGGAGTAGGAATTTTGGCCAAGAGTTGTGTTCACCGACGATACAATAGTTTCGTCCACCATCCATGGCCGTATCATGTGTGGCGTCGAAACAAAACAAGGTAGGATACCCATAAGTTATATATACAACCTGTATATTGTATCCCGCATAATTTGCAGTAAATAACAAATCGTCATTTGACATGAAGTTGAAGAACATAACAAAATGATAAGGTCTGCATTATCTTATGGAGATATGATCGGCGCAATATCAATAGGAAGAACAACGGAGCGGCCGAGGTACGGTGAGTGTGAGGCAGTGGGTGACTCCACGGCGTCAGGTACGTAACAAAGATTCAGGAATAAATTTAGTGTCTAAATATATGTTGACATCCTTAATGATTTTTTCTCCGTTTTTTTCCACGAGAGGTATATTACCTTCCCTCCCGGCCCCATAATATATGCTACAACTGACAGTCACAAGGTAAACTACTGCTACCAACTGCAATACTGTAGTTACTCGTTTGATTAATAAACGTCTAACATTTTGTTTTTTAACACCTGACGTGAATTAAGTTTAAGGTGATTGACTTTAATTAGTTTGTCTGTCTAAATATTAAACAACACACTATACCAGGCAGCTGTGTGGAGTCTGTTGGTAACTTTGGTTTAGTCGTGGTCTGGGTTGTTCGTCCTGAGAAAACAAACACGTCTTCGAAAGCGTTGACGCGATCAGAATTAGAGAAGAAATTATAATGTTTTCCATCGTTATTTGTTATGTTTAATACAAATTTATATTATTTTCGTTTGTTTTCCATTTTTTATTTTTGTTTTGTTTTAATGAATAAATAAAGTGGGACAAACAATATACAAAATACGGATACTTTTTGTCACCAGTTGACTGAAACCACTTTGAGACATCGATGACGTAAGTGTTTCGAGGGTTCAGAAACAGCCTTTCGATACATCAGACTCAATCATCCCAAAACGAGCCATTATACAAACTAAAATATTGGCATATAATCTTGTGTAATACATTGCCATTTCCTTTATAATTAAAACAGATAAAGACAAAGAACTCTAAAGCTACATGTGTGGACAAACAAATGAGGAAAACACGACCAAATTCAGTCCTTTGTTGTCCTAGGATAAGGTTTGACCGGTTCGTTTGTTTTAAATCTGGCAAGTTTCCCGGTTTCGAATTTATGAGAATGTCAACAGAGGCTTCTAACAAGAGCAGACGTATACAGTGCTGTCTCTACCTTAGTGCCGGTGAGGAAGTGCACGAAGGCTTTTGCACAAACAAATAACCTGTGGAGAGACTGAAATTGACGATTACTGCAAAGTATCGTCTGTCAGTGTAGTACAGTGTTTGTCAGTGTCGTACAGTGTTTGTCAGAGTCGTAAATTGATTGTCAGTGTCGCAATGTGTTTATTAGTGTCACAATGTGCTAATAAGTGTTATAATGTGTTTATAAGTGTCACAAAGCGGTCTTAAGTTTATGATAGTGATTTTAAATGCCGTAAAATTAATATAAGTGACGTAAGGT